TTTTTTTAATGAAAACAAATTGTTATTTTTATTTTAGGCCTATTGCTTACATAGGCTATACATTTTCCTTAAAGCATCCCATTTTGTTCCAGGGCTTGAAAACCTGTGCCCTAGGCTAGTTAGGTCCATGCAGAAACTCGTGAACGATGCTCTTAGTTGTGGCATCACCGTTTAATTTTAGGTCCTGCAGAAACTCGTGAACGATGCTCTTAGTTGTGGCATCACCGTTTTATGACATCATTGAATGCTCCGGGAAAACGTATTGCCAGTGTCAGTCACAGCGCATCCAGCAATTATTTATTTACAAATTATAAGCTCTGATTATGACAAGCTGTGGTATAAAAGCTTTGTTTATTAGAGGACTAGTTGGTTAGCTGGAAAATCTTACATCGCGGCCATGCTTTTGGATGCCATTTGAACCCATATAGCCTACATTTATACGGCTTTGTTCTTGGTCACGAATTTCCACAAATTCAATAATATTTATGAAGAACTTTGTGTTTGCACATGTTTTGCTCATGAGCTGCACGAAGCTCAAAATTAAACGACTTAATCGACCATCGATAGCTTTAATCGATTGCATCTCTTATCGACAATTAATCAATCATCGATTAATCATTGACATCCCTAATTGCTAGTGTGCATATATTTGTAATATCAATAGTTTAATCTTTTTGTAGACTTTTCTTAGCACATATTCATTTATATGACTAGTTTCAATGTAATTATTCAACACACAAATAACAGGTTTTTTCTGTCTCTCTCTCTCAGTATATAAATAACTAGTTTCTCTCTCTGTCTCTCTCTCTTCAGATGTAAATGACCCCGTGCCCTTCCCAACAGGATCTCTTCAGAGAAGAAAAAAGGGCCTAGCTGGTCTGCATCAACCAAAGCAGAGGTCCAAACCATCGCTGCTCATCGGCCTTCCGCAGGATTTCCGGCAGATCTCTTCTATCATTGATGTGGACATCTTACCCGATACGCACCTCCGTGTCCGTCTGCACAAGCATGGCACCAACAAACCCCTCGGCTTTTACATCCGAGACGGCGTCAGCGTCCGTGTCACTCCCCAAGGGGTGGAGAAAGTTCCCGGCATCTTCATCTCTCGCCTCGTGAAAGGTGGCTTAGCAGAGAGCACAGGATTGCTGGGAGTCAACGACGAGATTCTTGAGGTGAACGGTATCGATGTGGCAGGTAAATCACTGGACCAGGTCACCGACATGATGGTGGCTAACAGCCACAACCTCATCGTGACAGTGAAACCTGCAAATCAGCGGGTGCACAACACGATGCACCGTGCGAGTAAAACATCTGCTGGCAACAGTTCCGCTGGCTCGGGAGGCTCCGCCCTCTCACATGACTCTGCCCCCAGTCCCGCCTCACAGAATGCCAGCCAATACAGCAACAGCAACAGTGTGGCTGAGGGCGACAGTGACGATGATACTGACCTCATCATCGAGAATGACAACCTGTCGACGTACACGCCACACCGTATGACTAATGGCAATGGCACCCATGCTAGCGCCCTATCGTCGGGTGCATTTGCACACAGTCCCCTCCCACAAAGTGTTTCCTTGCCCAGTAGCAGCTCTTTAAGCTCCCTGACTACACCTACACACAACAGCAGCCCCACCAAGACGAGCAGTAGCCAAGAAAGCATGAGAGAGGACGGCAACTTCATTACGTTGTGAGCTACAGTAGGTTTCACACCACAGTAGAAGCCTTTATGCACATTTATAAGAAAATGAAGGAACTATTATATTATCAGCTATTATTTTTCAACCTATTCACAAACCTATTCACAATCTTTCCCATGAATGAGGACCTTCGGCCCAGATCACACGGGTTGCACAATCTAGCCTGTGTGTGAGGGCATGTGGCTGTCACTGTATGGAAGTGCCTTATGGCTCTCCACTCCTCTCGCCTTAGTTATTTTTTCTCCTTTTGGGACAAATCGACCATATTCATTTGTATTGACTCCGAGGACAGTCAATCAGAAGTGTGCTAGCTACTACTGGGGTGCCTGACGTTATCACTTGCACCTCGCCTCTGTGGAAATAATACGTGTCTTATTTTGGATTCATCTCACTTTTTGTGATGCCTCTTGCATTGATGATGATGGTAATGATGATGGAAGATGAGGAGGAGGAGGAAAATATAAAAGTGTTAAACCGGGTCTGATCAGAGTTGATTATGCTTGTATGCTCATCTCATCTCATTCTGACGCTGATCGTAGTTTCTGATACTGAAGATGTCTACCAAAATGTGCTCTACATGATGATTTTAAAGTGTTGTTATTTGCAATCAAGTCATCAATTCAAAGTGTTTATTAATCACATTTTTAATGTCTCAAATATGTGCAGTATGAGACGGGAAGTGTAGTGTTAAGATCATTCCCAATATGACAACATTTAAAGATGATTTTACTTTAAAGCGTATTCTGTCACTCTGTTTGCTCAAAAGTCATTTTAACACCCAAGTTGGCTTAATATTCACATTCATTATCAAAAAAAAGCTAAGTTCCAACTTCCAAGGAAATGGAAACCTCTTTTTGGGTTCCTCTTCTGTCTAATGTTGCATTAAAAGTATACTTCACCCAAAAATGTCAATTCTTGTAAATTTACTCACCCTCACGTTATTCCAAACCGGTTTGACTTTGTCTTCTGTGGAAGATGTTTAGTAACAACAATAGTTTGGTTAACATTGACTTACTAAAAACACAGAGACTTTTCTCAAAATGTCATCTTGTATGTTCTACAGAGGAAAGAAAGTTTAACAGGTTTGGAACAACATGAGGGGAGTAATGAAATTTTCATTTTTGGGTTAACTATCCTTTTAAGATTTATAAAAATGAATTTAGCATTTTATTGTTTAAAAAAGCATTCTGGCACAGGTTCTTTCTTGAAGGATTTTTCCCTCTTTGTTTATAGTTTTTCTCCCCCTCTAGAAAAATAGGAATCTATATAACTTATCTGGCACCAGTGCGGCGTAACTTCAGAAAGACTTAACCGCTCATTGACTCAGTCTGTCCATGCTCCTGTGTGCTCAGTTTTTCTGTAAAGAGAAAAAAAAAGGAAATTCCTTTCATGTTTGGAAAGGCCAGAATTCTGCACATTGGGACCTTTTTCACACACTCCACTCCTGATGGCCAAAGCTGTGAGGCTTTCTTAGCCATTGTGAGTGTGTGCATGTGTGTGTTCGTTCTTATTTTTAAAGTATAATCTTACAGAAACGGTACTGAGGTGGACACTGTCAGTCTCGGGCCAAATATTGGTTTCTCTAATGTCCAACAGACCCGATTGCTGTTTTCAGGCAACGGGTTCCCAGGTGAACAGTTGTTTAGACTGTGGAGATACCGGCCTCGGGACGTCCAGTGCTTCAAAGGCTGTCTATCAAACCCAAGTGCCCATGATGGACAAAAGGCAGTGAAATGCATAAAACATCCCAGTGCTTTTTCCAGCTGTACTGACGAGCTAATTATCCTTTATCATGATTACATTTGGGGATAAATGATGTTACTAATATATAAATATATTTTTTAATCATTCCGAATGTTTCGAAGGACATCTCAATTTTAACATTTTCAGTTAGAAGCAGGTGCCAGTAAAAATAATCAGGAAGCCAGTCTTTCCACGTCGTAACTGATGGGCGTGAATGATGAAGGTGTATCCTCATCTGCTCAGCATTATCTGGTTTAACTCGATCATTGAAACAAATGAGGTGTTACTTCACAAAACTGACCTCTATCAAGGTAGCCTTGAGTCTGAAAGAGAATGTAGTTTATTTGAACGGGTCTAGACGTAACATCTGCACAGCTGACACTCAGTGACTCGTTGCCTCGGGTTTTCACAGCAACATTGTTACAAGCAGACAGCGAGGACAACTGAAACCGGAGGGTGATTTGAAACGTATAGCAAGAGACATCTGGAGAAGCGTGAACTGTCACTTTTTGTTGTCTATATTTAATTAATAGGTTTTATTGGCATACTCTAGATGGAGAGAGTAAACGCTGGATTTTAAGGAGAAAGTGATGGCACGTAAACTACATAGAACAGCACACAACTGGAGCACCAATAATACCACATGAGCATTATTTTTTTTGGTGTGTATGTCAATGTATATGTATAAATAGAAATATGAAATGACAGACACTTTTGTACACTAAGAGCCCTTTTTATAAAAATGAGCATTTTATATATACGTGTAAAATATGGAAAGTATTTTTCTTATTCTTGTACTTTTGTATGTATATTAGAATTCTGGAGAGGAGGTTTCTATTTCTTTTGAGTATCACAAACAAAACTAAAATCTTTAGACGCTTGTGTTTTTATTATAATTAGATGGGTCAAGGTGTACAATACTGTGAATGTTATGAGCAGATTATAAAATGTTCTATCAAGATAATAAAAGTATTTAACAGTTATTTAGGTTGTTTTCTTGTTTAAATTATTTACATTTTTACTTATATTTAATGAAATTTTGCCACGATTAGTACAATTTATATAATGTTCAAATCGATCTATATTTTGTCGCTATAGTACTTTTAGTATTCATGTATTTTGAATTTTTGTAGTTCATATATTTAACCAAATGATGCATAGAATTGAATTTTGGGACCTGTGCTTTATGTTCCTTTATAATTTCAGAGACAATATGGAAAAACCTGGTTATTTCCATTTTAACAAGATGTAAAAGCTGGATGCACTTCACCCACTGTACAAAGAAATTGAGCATGATTGCATTACATATAAAGGACATTAGATTTGCCATACCTTATCTCAGATTGCAGGAAATCGATGTGATGTAATCGCCCTGACTACAGCAGTGGTTCTCAACCAGAAACTAGGACTGTTAGCACATTAAAATAATCATAATTAATTGCAAGATTCAAAATGTTAAATTTGCTCCTTTTTAAAGGAAAGAGAGAAAAAAAAGCATACAAAGCTGTTTTTGTGATTCTGCAGAAGGACTCCACATGCACAACTGGATATTGCTGACATTTCATCTGACACCACTTAAAACTTGTTGCTCAATTCGAAGTAATTGAAATAATACTTGCATATTTTAAGACACATGTATTATGGCATCCGGTCGTCGGTTGAGGTGTGAGATATAGAGGGAATTGGCGCTCTCTGCTGTCTAATGCTGGTATTGACGATTCAAATCTGTTTCTATAGTTACCAAACGGCTCTCACGATTCTCACCTGCAAAATGTACATAACCGCTCATTTGCAAATTGATACAGCATAATGAGTAGGCACAGAAACAGACCAAGAAAGTCCTCTCAAATCAAGCCAAACGCTCAACGGCGGAATTTTTGGAAAGACTGGCAGTTATTGATGATCCCGGTAGCCGATCCTATCAGGTGTGAAAGCATAAATGCTGTTTTACATTCAGTTCAGTTACATCCGTAAGGCCACGTTTTTGTAATATTTGAGGCCAAGTCTTTTTTTCTTTCTTTTTTAAATGACCTACATCTAGAGATGTCTGTGGTGGTCGACAGTGAGCTTTATGAAGAGGAACTTGATGTGACAAACTCTCCACGTTAAAAGAGCTTAAACAGGATTCTGGTCTTCATGCTTTAATGCTTAATTATGACTTTAAGAAGATGGCAAGCTATGTTCTTATCATAATTATCTATAAACACCAGCACAAATAATGCCATGTTTTCACAGAAGGGCCAGAGGTCCATGTCCATGTAAGCAGCCCACCTTCAAGAAAGGGTCAAGAGAAAATCTGAAGGTGCAGGATCATCCAGACTAAAGACCTGCTGCATGTGATGGACCATTCACGCCCTCATCAAGCCACCTTTGTGCATGAATTCTCTTATTTTTTTCCTATATACATGTACTACTTTCAGTATATGCAGGATAACTATTTTTTTATATTCAAATGCATTTATAAAATACTGACACGGTCAAATCCCTCTAATCAATTGTCTTTCCCCCACAAACATTTTTAGTTCATCCACATGCTGCATTAGGCTTTAATCTGCTAAATGAATTCATGCAAATGTAGGTGTAATAATAAGGCACAAATCTCAATAGAGTTGACTTGAATAAACATACACAATAAATATACAATAGATCCTAAACAGTATTTATGTCCATAGAGATTCTGAACCCATAATTTGTACTTTTCCTCAGTTCCCCCTGCAAAAAAAGAAAAACACCACACTGTAAAAAAAATGCTTGTGATTTTAACAGTAAAAGACTGTAAAAATGCTACAGTAAAAACCTGTTAATTGGTTATCTAACTTTCCATACTATATACGGTGAATAACTGTAATTACATTTAATGTAATTTTACAGTAAAATACTGTTAAAATTACGGTTTTTGGAAGTGAAAAAGAAAGTCATTGTATAATTTACATTGAAAAAACATAAATCGACTCCCAGAATTCCGTGCATGACACTTCCTATTTTATGTTTTTTCATTGAAATAACTGTTTCTTAGTTTTTTCTTATCAGTTGTGTACATTAGGGTTTTATCTTGCATCTAATGTTGTTAAATGAATGTTTATTGCATTATTTCAGTATCATGTGTGTTACCATTATGGTGTTTAGTGTTTGTGTGAATGACACTGTGCACCACTGTGCACCTTCTGTGTGTGTGTGTGTGTGTGTGTGTGTGTGTGTGTGTGTGTGTGTGTGTGTGTGTGTGTGTGTGTGTGTGTGTGTGTGTGTGTG